CCAGATTTATCTATACTGTTATACTTAAGGCTGTATGGTGGGCCGGTCTGGGACCGGACCGGGCCCGCGGTCTTAACGGGCTAAACGGTCCCGGCGGGCCGGTCCTGGTGGGCCGGTCGCTGATGGTGTAGAAAGCCCGTGGCGGGCTGGTCTCTTGCGTGAGGCCCACGAGACCGGGACCGCTAAGCCCGAGACCGGCAGGCGGTCCTGGGCCGGTTCAACTGGGCCTAACGGTCCTAACGGGCCTAACATTACTACTGATATTGGTAGAAGTAGTAATGACTGTGATTATCTAACTGTTACAAGTCATTGGATAGACGAGGAGTGAATAATGCAAAAACGCATTATTGCGTATAGAATAATTAATTCACGTCACACAGGTAAGTTTATTGCTAACACTGTTGCAGATATTTGTAGATATTTTTGCATTAGAGATAAAATAATGGCAATTTCTGTGGATAATGCTTCTAGTAACACTAGTGCTATAGGCATACTTACAACAACACTAAATCCTGCATTTAGTAATTGTTTCCATGTGAGATGTATTTGTCACATTTACCATTTAATCGTCGGTGATGGTATGAGAATTTTAAATTTAGAAATTGAAAAGGTTAGAATGGCTCTTAATTGGCTTTTTTATTCAAACAGTAGAAGTAGACTTAGAGAGTATTTTAAAAAATGTGATGAATTTGGCCTTAGAGAAAGAAAGGTTCCTAAACCTTGTCCAACTAGATGGAATTATATGTACGAAAGTTTAGTAGTTGCATATGAATATAGAAACACAATTAATGCAACGTTTAATGCTCGTGTTGGTGGTGAGGATGATGATGAAATCCTTACAAATCAAGATTGGACGAATGTAAAAATTCTTATAGATTTTTTAGAACATTTTCAATTTGCTACAAATGCATTTTCTGGACAATATTATCCTACTATTTCAAATTGTTTAGTTTATATTGCAGCACTATGTGATTTGTTTGTTGAATTTTCGGAGGGTGGGGAAATTTATAAACTTGCTATAAATGCAATGAAAGAAAAGTTTAAAAAATATTTTTTCCCTATCCCCCCTATTTATGGTGTTGCTGCAATGTTAAATCCTACATTGAAATTAGGAGGTCCTCACTTTTGGTACTCAAATATTTATAAGGCTTTAGATCTTTCAGTTGAGGAATTTTCTACACTTGCAGAGGCAAAAGCCTCAATTAAAATAAATGCTCAAACAATTTATAATGCTTATCAACTTGCGTTAGATCATGCTAGGCCAAATGTTCCAACCCCTACTTCGTCTAGTTCACAATCATCTAAAAGAGCTGCGAGCCTAAAAGCACTTAAATCTTGGACGGAGTTTAGGGGTTCTCAAGGTGATAATTTTGATGAGACTTCACATCTAAATGAGCTTCAAGTTTATTTGTCGCAGGGACTTGAAAAGGAGAATCCAGACGGCACCTTTGATCTTTTGGAATGGTGGAAGGCAAGGGAAAAATATTTTCCGGTTCTTGCAAGGATGGCTCGGGATATTTTATCTATTCAAGCTTCAACAGTTGCATCAGAGAGCGCTTTCAGTCAAGCAAGACTTCAAATAGGTGATCATAGAGCGTCTATAAGGGAGAGCTTGGAAAAATCAGTACTATTCAGAGATTGGATCCGCTCGGAAAGAAGAAACTTTGGACTTGCAGAATCACAACCGGAGATAGACGAAGCTTATGAAGAAATGATAGCGGAACTTGCGGAGGATGCTGCTTCGCCCGGAAGCGGTGATGAACAAGCTTCTTTTCCGCCACCACTAATGGAACCTCCTCCGAACCTTGAAGGATTTATGAGATTTGTTAGAGATACAATGTAGATTATGGTGTAACTTGTACTTTGGCATATCTTCTTTAGTTTTTTTTCCTTTTAATGGTGGTATTAGTACCTTGTTGTGCTCATTCCATTGGGGGGAAGAAGACTAAGAAAGATATGCCATTTTTGGTAATAAAAATTATAAGACATGCCCTTGAATATCTCTTTGCAATATTTTTTTGTCTTTAACTTACAATTATTTATAAGCTATAATATATATACATAACATACAATATATACTACAAGAAAATATATAAGGGAATATATATACATAACATACTATGTATACTACAAGAAAATATATAAGGGAATATATATACATAACATACTATATATAGTATACTATACTAGTATACTGTATATATTATATTTACATGAAGAAGTAGTACTATATATACTACAAAACAAGATTTTTCAAAATGACGGCCCCACCCCCAATGACCACCAACGGTCATATTAATTGCACAAATAGCCGTTTTTTTTTTCAATTTACAAAACTAACCTTCTCTAACACTATAAGTACCCCCCTCCCTCTTCTTCATTTCAATACTCAATACTCATTTCTCAATCTAAATTTCTCTCAATCTCTCAATCTCCAATTTTCAAGACTTCAAGTCTCAATCTCAATTTTCAAGTTAAATCATGCCTCGTTCGGAAAGAGTGCGCTTATTTGTGTCGCAATACTATGAAGTGCTTGAAGAAAATGAAGAAGGCCAAATATTAAAGTGCAAGAACTGTGGAAGAGTCTTAAATTTTCGTTCAGGGTGTACCACAGGCATTTTAAGGAGGCATATAAAGTATTGTGTTGAGGGTATTTATCCGCAAATTCGTCTTTAAGATTTTTCAACAATTTGTGTTATTTTAAAATTATTAGACGTATTTATGCTTCATGTTGTACTTTGTTATTAATTTATTATGCATGCCAATTTAGTTTTACTATTGATTTGTTATTTTACATTTTCGTCAAACACTTTAATAATTAGATTTCTATATTATATATACTACATATATTTATATAGCCATGCATAAGAGCAATTTATATATACACATACACATATGGTTTACAAGAAATTGCCTTAAATAAAAAAAATTTAAAAAAAAAAGCCCGGAAATAAAAAAAAGCCCGTTAGGCCCGCTAAGCCCACGAGCCCGGCCCATTTAGCCCAGGACCATATGGGCTTAGGCCCGTCACGGGCTGGTCCTACCCGTTGAGCCCACGAAGCCCGGGACCGCGAAGTCCGGGACCACCAGAGCCCGGGACCGCTAAGCCCAGGCCCGTTTAGCCCGGCCCGTTTAGCCCATTTAGGCCCGGGCCCGTCCCACCATACAACCTTAGTTATACTATCCGGCCAAATATACCCCCACTATCAGTAAACTTTTAAAAGTTACCCCTTGATCTGCTAAGTAATTCAAAATCTCCCAATTTTCGTTTATTTAAATCACTTGTTGTTCTTCTTGCTCCACTATTTGTAGAAATTACTATTGATGTGAATGGTAAAGGTATTAGAATATACAAATTATTCATGGATATTTTTAATTACCAATGCACCCATTTCTCTTCTTGCAATAATGGATTTGGAATTGATTTAAAGTTTTTTATTTTCAACCATGGACACACCGGAAAATTCAGCGGGTCTATTTACTGTATATTATATGCTGCCGATCATCATGTATGTACATGTATATTCGAATATATTTTATTATTGTCTGGTTAGTATAAAGTCCGATCGACTAACTTAAGAGTGCACAATGCGTAGGCATTTGATTAAAGCAAAGTTGAATTTGACAATGTAAAGTCTCCAAGGAACTTCAACTTCTATCACTAATACTTACAAAGTCCCCATACCTTTGGTGCAACAAATTCATTAAAGTTGGGATGTTGTAAATACTTTTGGAATTTAGACAAACTATCTAACTTGGATTCTTCAATTTACTAACCTTTGTTTACTAACCGTGGTATTAATTTTAATTATTTTTTCTCTTATTTTTTTTTCAATTAAAAAAGTAGGTAAACGCCAATTATTTCAAAATAGTGGATCAAGAAAGAATAAGCGACTTAATTAAAATGATTTGGGAGATTCTAGGTCACTTCATGGTAGGGTAAATTTAGCCGAATAATATAACGGTTGGGATAAATTCGGGCGAATAATATAACGGAGATTAAATGTAGACAATATCCGAAAGTAAAGGGGTATATTTGGCCTAATTCCCTTCAACTTATTACGTCCGTGCCGACAATTACTACGTAGTTTATTACACCTATAGCACCTTCCACTCTAGTCCACGTACACTGTTTTTTTCCATGTTGTAAGCGGTCAAGATTTTTACACGATAAAAAAACCAAAAGGAAAGAAGTGACGTTTGGCAGCCAAGTTTCCACGTCCAAAACAGTACGCAAATAAAGCAAGTAGTACTGTAGTAGTAGTTTTCTATGCTTAACATGTAGGAGTGCTGAATTCGTGTTTGCGAATCTACCTTGAATCCTACCAGCTCAAAGTTGTGGGTCTACAATTGGTTCGTTAACAGTTGCTTTACAGCCATTTGATGTACCTACCCACCTCTCAGAAAACAATCAAAAAGGTCAAAATAAAAGAAAAGAATATTCCATATTTTACCTAGTGGGAGAGACATCTTGCTAAATTGGTCTCATTTGACGATTGACATTCAAAATATTCACCGAGAGTCCGTTTAAAAAAATTATTTTTATAGCCAAAAAAATAGTAAGATTTTTGGCTTGTTTTTAGTAGTTTTTAACTTATTTTAAACAGTTTTTAACTTTGTCAAATACCGAAAAAAGATAAAAGGAGATTAAAAGCTAATTTGACCAATTTAAAAGCCAATCCAAACACCCTCCAAATCATATACCATTCCTATCTCATTTTTCTCTTAACTATGATATAGTAATACAATATGACAAAAAACTAAATTAATGTGAGTAAATTTTTGTGCAAAGATCATGTTTAGCCACACTATTTATATCTAGTAAGTGTATATATATATATACACACAAAAAGACTACTCCCTTTTTAGCTCATTTTTACCTAACATTAAAATATCGGGCAAGTCACGGCATGCATCAACCCCCATTGATGGTAGGTGATATATTCAACCCCCACAAGAAAGTACAACAACTGGTCATCTGTTCTACCCCACATTAAAACTAGTACTACTACTACTACTACAAAACAGTATAAACAAACATGAAATGGCCTAAACTTTCACTTGACTAAACTGAAGAGAAAAACAAAGAATGGGTACTTCTCAACTTCATATTGCACTCCTTGCTTTCCCTTTTGGTAGCCATGCAACTCCCTTACTCACTCTTGTCCAAAAACTATCTCCCTTCTTACCATCAAATACACTATTTTCCTTCTTCAACACATCACAATCCAACTCCTCAATCTTCTCTAAATCTTCAAAACCAGACAACATTAAAATCTACAATGTTTCGGATGGTGTTACACAAACCAATGGCATTACCCCTATTGGACGTGAAGCCATTGAGCTTTTTATAAAGGCAACTCCTAGTAATTTTGAGAAAGTTATGAAAGAGGCAGAGGAGGAAACTGGGGTGGAATTTTCTTGCATTTTAAGTGATGCTTTCTTATGGTTTTCTTGTAAATTGGCTGAGAAAATGAATGTCCCTTGGATTGCTTTTTGGACTGCTGGTTCTGGTTCTTTATCTATTCATTTATACACTGATTTAATTCGATCTAATGAGGAAACATTATCAACTATACCAGGTTTTTCTTCAACTTTAAGAATCGGTGACATGCCACCAGAAGTTGTAGCTGAGAATTTGGAGGGGCCAATGCCATCTATGCTATATAACATGGCTTTAAATTTGCACAAAGCAGCTGCTGTTGTAGTAAATTCTTTTGAGGAATTGGATCCAACAATTAACAACGACCTCGAATCAAAGCTTCAAAAGGTACTCAACATTGGCCCTTTAGTTCTACGGTCATTAAAGAAAGTAGACTCAGATGTTAATTCAGATGAAAGTGGTTGCATCCTCTGGCTTGAGAAACAAAAGGAAAAATCGGTGGTTTATCTTAGTTTTGGAACTGTTACAACACTACCCCCTAATGAAATTGTGGCAGTAGCAGAAGCATTAGAAGCTAAAAGGGTACCTTTTCTTTGGTCACTAAGAGAAAATGGTGTCAAGCTTTTGCCTAAAGGGTTTCTCGAAAGAACAAAGGAATTTGGGAAAATAGTTTCTTGGGCACCCCAGTTGGAAATCTTGGCACATTCTTCTGTTGGTGTTTTTGTAACACATTGTGGTTGGAATTCTATTTTGGAAGGCATATCATATGGTGTGCCTATGATTTGTAGGCCATTTTTTGGTGACCAAAAGCTGAATAGTAGAATGGTGGAAAGTGTTTGGCAAATAGGTTTGCAAATTGAAGGTGGAAGTTTCACTAAAAGTGGAACAATGAGTGCACTGGATGCCTTTTTTAGTGAGGATAAAGGGAAGGTATTAAGGCAAAATGTTGAAGGGCTAAAGGAAAAAGCATTAGAAGCTGTGAAATCAGATGGGAGTTCAACTAAAAATTTCAAGAACCTAATGGAGCTAGTTAAATAATGACACAAGCCACTTGATTTTATTATGTTATAATTGGCAAAATGGGACTATGTACCAGCTTGAACTTACTTCGGTATATAGTAGAATAAATTCTGGTGTGGTAGCTAGACTATGTATTTGATAGTGATTTCATCCTTAGTGTTTGAAGCAGCGGTGTTCGTCGGTTGGTACGGTACAGTATTTAAATATTTCGGTTCGGTATTTTTGGTATTCGTATCTTAAAATGCTATACCAATACCGTACTTAATTAAATTCGGTACAGTTCGGTTTTTCTCTTTTCGGTTTATTCGGTTCGGTAATTTCGGTTTATTCGGTTTAAATACTAACAAGTGCATAGAGTCATAGACTATAATATTCTTAAATAAAGTACTCAAAAGTACAAAACAGAAAACGTTTGTTGACAAAAATTTTGTCCAAAACCAGCAAATATCAACCTAAAGAGAGAAAACTACACATAAAGGAATAAATCCGATCATTAGAATTATCTTCTTACTTGCTAAGAGTTAATTGATGAACTTAGAGAATAAAAGAAAGTAGAATTTCGATTTTTTATATTTATTTTATAATTAATAATATGTATTTTTTGTAATATAATATATATTTGGGTACGGTATTGGTATTACGGTATTTCATAAAAAAATACCAAATACCAAACATAATACAATATTTTTTTTAAAATTTAAACCAAATACCATACCGAATACCAAAATATCTAATACCAAATAACAAAATTTTCGGTTCCGGTATCATAATCCGGTATTTACCAAATTATGCACGGCCCTAATTTGAAGTATAATTTTAGTTTTGTATAGTATGACATTCATGTTTAAGTGACTCCAAGAAATTATAGCCACATCTTAGGCTTATGCAATTGAAAAACAAAACGAAAGAACAAGAAATTCAGAAGTATTATGAAATAAAAGGACGTAATAGTGAGAGAGATGGAAAAAGATTGAGACAGAGGGGGTTATTAAACTGATTTTTTTTTCAAGTATGGACAACATGAAATTAATTCGTTAAACTCCAAAAGGCATTATGAACACGTACGTTAATGATTTGGGGGTAGTATAGATTTTGGCATTATGTAGAAAAAGTGGAGGGAGTTAATGGTATGCAGAGAAGCGAGGAAAACACAAAAATGATCCCTTATATTTGAGGTAGGTTTAAAGTTGTTCTTTTAATATAATTGTTACACCTCACACTTTTCTCCTCACATTAAGCTGGGAATTCATATTGCCGGTAAGCGTAACCAATCAGCCCACGATACATTATGGGAACAAGGGTGTGATTATGCTTCATTAGACTTGTGCCGGCTGCCCCACCAGGCATAGTAGCCGATGCGGGGCGACCTGCTTAGTGTTTGAGGCGGTGGAGTTTCTAGACTTATAACCTGTTTGGCCAAGTTTTTTTTTTGGCCAAAAGTGTTTTTTTTGGTCAAAAGCAGTTTTGGCCAAAAATTAAGGTGTTTGGCCAAGCTTTTGGAAGGAAAAAAAAGTGCTTTTGAGGAGAAGCAGAAGCAGTTTTGGAGAAGCAGAAAAAAGTAGCTTCTCTCCAAAAGCACTTTTTTGAGAAGCACTTTCGAGAAAAATACACTTAGAAGCAGTTTTCAAAAGCTTGGCCAAACACTAATTACTGCTCAAAAGTACTTTTCTGATTAATTAGCCAAACACAAACTACTTCTCACCAAAAGCACTTTTTTTAAAAGTACTTTTGAGAAAAGCACTTCTCAAAATAAGCTGATTTTAGAAGCTTGGCCAAACGGGCTATTAATATAAAAAGCAGTACAACTTTGTTCTTTTTCATTCTACCCAATATCATCAGTTGCAGCTTACCCAAAACACTCCCAAGTCCTCTTTCATAAACTCTTAAACGATTCAAGGCTAAATCAAACGAAAACTTAGCGGAATTTAACGTAAAAAATCTTGTGATCATTAGTGTATCATTTGTCTTCTTGTTATATTAATATCGGAGGTTCCTTGGAAGTGAAGATAATCACCATAGAAGTGTAAGAACTCAAAAAGCATAGTTAGTCCTTCGAAAAGATATGTAAGGCAACTTTCTCTCTTGGCATGACTTAATGTAAGCATTTCTTTCTTAATGATCCATATGTTGTAAGAATGAATTATCCTAAGCCCTTCTTGATAACGTTGTTCACGTTCTTGTACATTCTATGCCGGTGGCATTTTCTTTCCAGTCTGAGATGTTCCCAAATAGTATATTTAGGTCGAAAAATATGATTCATTCTAAGTTTAATCTTGATATCTCTTGAAATTGATCTTGCATTGTACTTATATATATGTATCTATTTTACTTTACCGAGCTGCGATATAGTCAGCTGGGTACGACACCTATTGTGCAACAATGAATTAGTTGGGTATAATGAGATATGATGTGAAGATATTACCGAGTCCTCTTGAGACCGGGTACGCAGAGTTCTATTGAGACCGGGTACAACTGAGATCTTCTGAGGGCGGGTATGACCGAGTCCTCTATGAGTCCGGTACGGAATAATGTGTTATGAGATATTACCGAGTCCTCCTGAGACCGGGTACGCCGAGTTCTATTAAGACCGGGTACAGACGAGATATTCTGAGGTTGGGTATGATGTGACAAAGGCATGAGACTTTACCGATTTCTGGTACGATGTGATACGATATGCCCCAAAGAATGGCAGAACATGATATGAGATGAAATGTCCAAGAGCGGTGGAATATTTTTATTTTGTATTTAATGCATGCCCAATGAGTGGCTTCACTTTTACAAATTTTGCATCCACTAATAATTCATGGTTACCGTAGTGTACGTCCCCGGTGGTTTATTTTCAGTATTTAGCTTGAAATTATGTATTTATATCTCCTATTTTTTGTCTTTAGTTTGCTTACATTATCCGCCTTACATATTCAGTACGTTTTTCGTTGTGATGCCCCTTTCTTCTAGGCGTTGTGTTCATGCCCACACGTACAGATAGACTTGGTGACGTCCCTCCCCCAGTAGGGTGCACGTTTCAACTGTTGGTTGTCGCACTCCACTTCTCTAGCTATACAGAAGTTGATAGGTACTAGAGAATATGTTTCTGTTATTTTGGGTAGGTGGGGCTCTGTCCCGACCAAGTTATATACTATAGCACTCTTAGAGGCTTGCAGACTGGTGTTCGGGTGAATAAATATTGGTTTTGACGTTGGTAACGGTTGTGTGTATATACATACATATATATATATATATATATATATATATATATATATATATATATATATATATATATATATATATATTGTTAAAAGTTTCTTCCACAGCCAGTTGTGAACATTTTCAAATTCGGTATTGTACTTGGAGGCCTTGTTGGCTAAGATTTCATGTTGAAGGGTTTCAGTATGGATGTTGGTTCGCACGGGCTTTCGGGCGTTATATGCTGATCGCAACTCCTGAGGTTGGGGTGTGATAAACTTGGTATCAGAGCAGGTTTGTCCTAAGGAGCCTGCAACAGTAGAGTCTTATTTATGGGTATGTCGTGCACCATACTTGTAAATAAGAGGCTACAGGATATCTAGGATGGATACCTTTCTTTCTGATCTAGATGGTACGATGGAGCTGAGCCATAAGTATTTACGTCTAATCTTCATCTTGTTTATGAATATAGCGATTCCTTCTACGAGCTGTTAGGCAGTTGTTCAAAGATTAAATGAAGAGGCAGGGGAGGGTACCAGTTGGTGCCATTGTGCATATGGATCAATGTAAGCCTCATGATGAGGCTGATACTCAGGTTTCAAGGACAACGCTACTACCCACAGAACGACATACAGAAACTAACGTGCCCCCAATTCCTCCCCCGGTTTCTCCTGACTAGGATTTAGATGTGAGAAGTGTGGTGTAGTTGTTGACTCGGTTAGTAGCCTCTCAAGCCTAGCGTTAGACCCTTGGTACCTCATATTGAACGGTCAGTGCGAGAGTTTGTGATTTCATTAACCTAGACCCCCCCCCCCCCAATATTTACAGGGAAATATCCAAATGCAATTCCCTAGAATTTTCTAGATCAGAAGCAGCGGACTTTTCGAGTTATGCATGCCACTGATGCTGAGACAGTAGTGTTTGCTTCTTATATATTGGGAATGATAATGTGACTTGGTATGAAACTTGGGAACAGTCTAGGGAACCTCATGTCCCACGAGTAGGTGGAGGGAGTTTTATGAGGCATTTATGCAACAATATTTACCTATTGAACTCCACCGAGTCAGGCAAGATATATTTTTACGGTTGGAGTAAAGCAATACGAGTGCCGGGGAGTATAGTGTATAATTTAACTCTTTGGCTATGTATTCCCCTTCGGTTGTGGCTGATATGAGCGATAGGGTACATCGATTTGTGGCTGGTCTGAGACCACATTGATTAATTGATGTATCACTACTTCTCTGAATTCGAATATGGATATTGCTCGTATTCAAGCCTATGCACAGAACTTAAGAGGATCGAAAGATGCAGCAGTGAGCCGCTCGATAGCATGATCGGGGCCAGCATAAGATAGCATGGTCCACAGGTGATACGGGAGAATCTCGAGGTGGATTTAGACCTCTCTTTCCTAGGCATCCATCTTATCCGGTGGCTAATGTACCATCACAATCCCAAGGCCAGCGTCGTGATTAGATTACTTATTCCGGTTAGGGTTAAAATCCCCGAGGATAGAGTTCACAGTATAGTGGAAATTCTAGCAAGATGAGACCCCTGGTACCTTATTGTGGCCATGTGGTAAGACCCATTTAGGGTAATGTCCCCAAGGTTCGGATTTATGTTATTTATGTGGGCAACCTGGTCATATTATGCATTTTTGCCCTGTGAGAGGTGGGACCAGTATGATGCAGCCAACGGGATCTGTAGCAGTTTCTTCTTCATCCGTGCGCCCTCATGAGCAGGGCTTGCAAATATCAGTTAGAAGAGGTAGAGGTAGAGGTGGAGCATCTGGCTCGGGTGGACAACAAAATCACATCTATGCATTGTCAAGTCAACAGGACCTAGAGTCATTATCGGATATGATTACAGGTATACTATCCGTAATCTCCACTAATGTGTATGCTTTGATAGACCCAGGTTCTACTTTGTCGTACATTACTCAATTTGTTGTAGATAAATGTGGTAAAGAACCTAAATTGTTGAGTCAGTTATTTGAAATGTCTACGCCCGTAGGTGAGTCCATGATAATTAGACGGATATATCGAGGATGCGATGTAATAATTTATGATCGCCACACCTTAGCTGATTTGAATGAATTAGAAATGGTGGAATT